ATTTCTTTATTTTTAATGGCAAATTTTTTATTCACTACGATTTCTAGGCTATGTGTAGTGATTATGTACTTCTGAGCAGATACAGGTGTTGGTATATGAACTGATTGACATATGTAGCGAATTCAGAATTTTCTCTTTCCTCTACAGATTCTTCTGCTTTACTTTGTATTTTTATTTTGCATTCTGCATAAAGTTCTTTGCAATTTTCCAAATTTGTTGTTTTTTTCATAAGTTTCATTGTATTCCTCTTGTGCCCTTTTTTTCAGTCTTTTTTTTGTGTTGTTCTCAAACCGCATCAGAAAAAAGTGCTTTGTTGACACGGCGTGGAAACTGGGAAGTGGAAAAGGCAGCCAGAAAAGAAAAGGAATGTGAATGGTGATGATTGCTATTCATATCTGAGCGACTTGTCCACAGAAATGTAGGCATACGGAAAGCTGCTATAAATAGGGTTCAGTTTCTCAAGGAAAAAAACACTACGGATTTTGCTATTTTTTCATTTTTTTAAAACTCTTCTCTTCTGTCATTATGGGACTTTATATCCACACTTTTTCTGTCTTATTTTTTTATCTTACTTTTTTCTTTTTTTTTTTTACTTTTTGATGTTTTTTGCTGCTTTATAAATACAGCAAAGAAAAAAAACTTGTAAAACTATGAAGCTTTATCTTAGCATTTTTTTCTTCATTTGAGGGAGCAGTGCATTTAGACAGCAATGCGTAAAAAATGATGGTTTTGTTTTTCAAATATGTATACAAATATTTTCATTACACGAGTTTTTTTCTTTTTAATTTTTCGCTTTCAGTTTGCTGTTTGTTCCCTCGTTTTTAGCTTTTTATTTTTTGTCGTCAGGGAAGAGTACTTTGGATAAAGGTATTTTTACTGTCATTTTTGAGTAATAAACTTCCAAGATTAATAGGCTTTTTTGTTTCCTCTATTACTACTTTTTTTGACATTTTCTTAACAACCGTTGGCTTTTTCACAGACAAATACTGTCAACAGGGCTACAAAGTATGTTGAAGTTTTTTTAGAAGCTGTTTGAGACTGAATGAAGAAGCGAGTGAATGAATAGATGAATGATTAAGTAAAAAGATGAATGGACAGACAGATATATTTGTCTACCCATTTCTTTACTGGAGTTTTCTGACAAGAGTTCTGGAAACTGTATGATAGAATTTCATCAGATTCTTCAGTTTAACATCATCACTGTTCATATTTAAAGAGCAGTGCTTTGGCGTTAAAATTCATTGTTCCAAAAATAGAATGGTATTTGGTTCCTCAGCACATAAAGTGCTAAAAAAGTTATCTTCTGTTGTAGGCAGTTTTTTTCGTTGTAGACTAA